TTAAGGGCCCTTCCACCCTAAGCTGTGCTGTGACCCTGTGATTGTATCATATATATATATATACGTACACAGAGAGCACATGCATGTAAATATGTGTGATTACACCAACACAAATCAACAGGCAATAAACACTGAACCTCAGATTACTTTCAAGTGGAGAAATAGAGTACCTGGTTCATTGAACAGTGGTTATAAACCAACACTACACAGGCAGTTTTGTCATTGCATATTCCATCGCAATCCAACTGTTTGATTACCAAACCTCTTGAGCTGTTTTCAGTTCTACATTTTAACTTTCATGGCTTGCATGATAAGAAGTGCCATTCAAAGGAAAACAAGGAAATCCCTTCATGGCAGGCCAGGTCACAGCGAGCACGATTACCATCAGTTAATACACAGTCAGTCTCTTTCCGTAACAGTTTTCTTGTGCTAAACGCAACATTTCTTCTGTTGATAAAAACGGGTAAATCATTGTCTCTCCTCCAGCAAGAGCCTTATTCCAAGATAACAAACGGAACAAACATTTGTTTTTGATATTTTAGATATCATACAGGAGACTGGCAACTTCACAGCAATCAGCATCTAATCTCTTCTCATGCAAATAACATTTGCATGAAAGATCCATTGTTTAAACATCACATCTGCTTAAATAGAAGTAGGATGTAATATTTCCTGCTGCCCATTAATTTTACATATGAAAAAGGACCATATCGTCAAAACAACTCCTCCACATGTACACTTGTGCACATGGATGCATGCATATACATATATGTGTGTGTGTGTGTATATATATATATATACGTATATCACCTCAGAAAGACCTACTTTTCTCACCTTTCACGGTACAACTCATGAAAAACCCGTGGACTTATAAATTATCACCATAAAGATTGAGTTGCTGAGACTGTCAACACTGGCTGTTTCAGACTGGGTAACAGTTGCTAATTTTCAGCTGCCTGCAACACAAAACAATCCTTCAAATAGCTGAAAGATGAAGTCTCTGTTTTTATAATGCTGTCTTATCTGGTTATACCTTACTGCATTTTTTTAAATGTGCAATACAGCAAGCTTCCTTAGAGAAAAGGTAACGCCTTTTTCTCCATACACAAAATAACCAAAAAATACTTTCCCACCCCTACAGTGACTTCATTAAATGAATGTTCCCTTTCTCAATGAAGCAAATTATAATCAATCCACAGCTGGCAGTGTTTAGCTAATCGTATAATTTGGGGTTGAGTGGCCCTGGTCACCTGCTCTTTCACCACCCCTCTCTTTTTCTGAAGCAGGTTTTTATTATATTCTTATATTATCTAGAGGGAGCAATAAATAGGATCCACTAAATAAATTTGCTTGAGACATTTATATGAAATTTGAAGGTTTAATGTAACTGCCAAAAGCTTCTGGAATGCTGGCAGAATTAATCTTAATACTCATTACATTTATAGATTCAAATCAAGCCTGCGGACGTCAGCATAGGTGCCACTGCTAAGAAATAAGAAGTTTCCAGGAAATCTCTAAGTAAATTTAAAGTGGTTGCCAGCTTTGGAGAGGGAGGATTTTAAAAAATGATGTGATGGATGTGATCTATATGCCAGGAGGTGCAGCACTAAACACACATCGCTATAATTTTGGGGATGCTTTCTCCAATACAGGTTTTTATAACAAAACAGAATTAGAGATTAAGCTACAAACCTCAAGCCTGGATTTTTATTTATTAATTTCTTTTTAATTAGAGGTTGCCATTCATTGGGCAGCCATCTCCAGCTGTGAGATCATTCCACACCTGATAAGCAGGAAAAGCCTAATTCTGCTGCAGTTCCTGCCCTCAAGTGTAAGCAGTGGCTTTAATTTGGGGGATGGAGGAACATAGAGAATGAGTTCTGGAGTATGTTTATTACATTTGGTAGAGTGCACCTGAGCTTAAAAAACATGTGGAAACTAGTGAAAAATAATGAAAGTAACACTAAACAACATAAGCACAGAACTATCCACTTTGCTACCCACTCCACAGCTGAGCCAGACTGTGGCAGACAAGAGAGGCACTTCTTGGGATACACATCTTGTGGAAGTGTTACCTGAAGACAAAGCCAGACACCTGAGCTGGAGTCTGCTCCTCACTGTCTTCTTCATCTATAAATACAGTAACAGGAAATATTTGCCAACTGTAGCTTGCAATTTTAGCCAGAAAGAGAGCAAGAAGATAGGAAGAGAGCAAAAGAGCTCTCATAGTATTCACTAACGCAACAGAGGTATAAAATCAAAGAAAAAGCAACTGTAGGTCGAACATTGTGTTACATCTGAATTTCAGCATTTCTGCCACCACTACAATGACAATTTATCCAAGTCACTCTTGACTTGGATACAGGCCTGTAATGCACCAAGTCAGCACCAAGTTTTCCCACCAATGAAACATGAACTTCATTTATTCACGACAGATGCTAACTTGAAACTGTTGTTGAACTACAATATAAATGCAAACATAAGGAGCAGGTGAAAGAACTTCAAGTTATAAGAAGGGTGAAAATGGAATTACTTTGCTGCATATAATTCCACCTAGAAACCTCCCTTGCAGCACAATTACTAACTACAGATAATGCAACACTACTATCCATCTGGAATTTGAAAACAGTAAGGTTAAGCATGGCACAATAAAAAAGTTTTTTTCTGACTGAAAATACAACTGGCTGAAGTAAGTTAAAATTCACAGAAAATCTCCTGCTTAGCTGGGTAGGAAGTTGAGGTGACAAATGACAAATCAGGCTTTTTTCCTTTTTTTTTTTTTGACTAAAAAAAAAATAAAGAACATAAAGGGGGTCACCACCCTTAGAACATCCATATAATAACAACAGAAAGGACAAAAACCAAAAAACAAAAGACAAAAAAACATAATTTATAGAAGAAGATGTAACTACTAAGACATGATTTCTGTAATCTTATCTCTTTGCTCTCAGTTGGCAGTTATGGACTAAGACCTCCTCTCTCAATAAAGCATTCAGAGTGGTGTCAGTTATGGACATGCTGCCTACAAATACAAATTTTGAGAAGTTGAGTCCCAGCTCCTAAAACACACTTCTGAAGACTCGAGCACTCTCCCTTGACTCCCTGGTTTTGATTGCCTGAACAGATCTGCTATTTATTATCTACAAATAAAGACAGCAGAATACCAAACTGAGCAACTGGTGACAAAATAATTCTGATGAAGTTCTCATTGTTGTGTTTTGTTGTTGTTTGTTTTTTACAGAAGCTTGTGAGAATGGCCACCTCTTTGTAAAAGAACACAGAATAACCTGTTAAATTGACTGGGATGGTTCATATTTTAGAAATTGTTGATACTTAATGTTTAACAAAACATATATATATGTATATATATAAGTTCACCATTTCTGAATGTTCTGCCTTAAATTTCAACTTATAACAGGAAAAATTGAATTAAAAAAAAAAAAACAAAAAACAAACACCTTGATACCTTCTCAGAATTCTTTGAGGTTTGAAATTTTGCCCAAGAGAATATAATTTAGCTTTATTCTAGACAGCCTTTGCAGAATTATCTTAAATGCAAAATATTGTGTTTCATCCAAAAAATAAAGGAATTTATTGCCCAAGTAATACCTAGAATGTTAACCTGGCAGACAACACGATCAACTTGTTAAATTTTATATACAAGCTCTCACTAATTCATGATGCTGAAGTGTTGCTGCTCTACTCCTGCCACAAATCAGTCACGGTTTTCCACTAACATGTTGTTTTACTACCCTTTGTAACTGAAAGCACAAAGTAAAGTCATAAAATATGCAGTGTTTCTCTTGTCTATAAGCTAGACTGAACGTGTTCATTGGACAAAACTGGGAATAATACCTGTGAGTATTATCACAGATTACTTTTCATTAGAAAAGAGTCTGCCTTCGTGTTATCAATTGTTTGTAAAAACTAATAGTCAACCTCAGATATATTTATATATCCCACACAGAAACAAAAGCATTGAAGTTAATTAAGCCCATTGATCAGCAAGGGAAATAGATATGAATATAGCAATCTTGTGCACTGGAATTAATTACATCAAGTTTTTGACCATACCACAAATAAAGCTCAGGATGTACTAATGAGATTATCAAGAACACAAACTGTAAATCTCGTATAACATTCAATAATACACATTCCCCACAGAGCAGCATTAGCAGCCTTCCAGGCAACCACCGTACAAGCACATATTTAGATGTCACATTCAGAAAATTACTTCACCCTTAAACATGAAACACCCACCTTTTCTCAGTGGTTGCAGAACAAGTATATTTTACCAGTGAAACACAGAAATAGGTTCAGATTTCTGAATGGTGCCATTCCTAACACTTTGTTTTTACCTGGTATGCTTCTCTGCCCTTTTCTCTCTCCCCTTCAGCAGGCTGTGCTCTCCTCCACCAGGTATTTCCCCATTTAAAGCACAACAGAGAACACCCTAATGCACATATGACAATCCACACACTCTTATTTGTTTCCGTCTGAATTATTTCCTTAACAGGTCCTTCCTCACCTCTAATTACCATGATTACTATGATTTTATTCACCAAAATTTAAATCATAATTTTATCAAAAATATTTAAAATCAACATTTTTACTCCTTGTTTCTATTCTGTGTTTTTCTGATTTCAGCCTCCTACCGAGTATCCTGCTATGCTCCTTTCTGCGTTAACTCAAGTCTGCCTTCTATTTTCAAGCATTTTGTTTAGTCTACACACTTCTTCGGTTCCTGTCACTGAAGTGTCAGGTAAGAGTCATCTCCATGGACATTTTTAGTCCAAGGACATCCAATCACTGGGACAGCCCTAAAATAAAATTCTAAGCAAACTGGTCAAACTACAGCCAATTAGTGTGAGTGCTTCTCCTGACAACTTTTTTAAACATAGATATTAAAGACAAATAACCAATCTTTTAAAAAAGTGTCTTCCCTGAGAATCTGTAACAGTTAAAAAAATAAATAAATCAAAGAACGCAGGAAAGCTTACCTTTCGATCCTGGATGGATACAGTCTCTTAAAAACCTCCAGCTTAACGTACTACATCCTTTTTGCTTTTCTGAGCAATCTTTTTCTTCTGTAACTTCCTGTCTTCTGGCTTGCTAGCTGCACTTTATTCTATGTACGTGCAAAGGAACCCAAGATGTTGTCCAGAGTTGCTCACTTCTACTCTGTCTCCACAGTGTTCACGTCACTTGTAGCACCGAAGCTGCTGAGAAGCCAATGCATCAGCTCTGTGAAAGAGAAAGTCAAAATAAACCAGGGCACCAGACACAGCACAGGGTGATCAGCTTCATAGATCCTGATCATGATGCCAGAGTGAAAATAAAACACGGAAAGCTGCAATGATCAAGCACAGCAGTTTGGAGGTGCTAATTTAAAAATAACACAGCCTGTGAATACAGGTCACAAGCATGAAAACCTTCAGAAAAGAAAAGAAGGAAGAAAAAAAAAAAAGAAGAAGAAGAGGAAGCAGGATCTGATACCAGATAAGCAATTGCAGAGGGTAAGCTGGATACAGAGAGCAGAACTTGTTAGCCTGAATGATACCAAGGGACGTGCCTTGTAAAACGATCAATACTCAAAGGCTCAAATAAAGGACTTGGTTGTCTTCCCCGCCCCCACAACCTGAAACAAATCTCCTCTACTTCTAGATATTTCACACTGCCTGCTACAAAACCTCTCACATTTCTTTCCAGAATTAAAGTTCTGCTCAGCACACTGTTTTTCAGATGTGAACACAAAAAAAGCACACAGTAATTACAGCTTAAAACCCTGTGTTTCTTCAATAAACCCCAACTGATATTAAACAGATGTCCAACAGCATACATCAAAATACAGAAAACACAACTGGAAAATTTCAGAGCTGCACCATGCAGTGGGCAGGGCAGCCTCGAGCTGAGCAACAGAGAGCTGCTGGAGCAACAGGGAGAGAGGCTGGGGAGGAATTGCACCAATATATATGTGTATTTATTTTTCTCTTACAGTCATTTTTTCTTAATGAAAAACAAATCGATTTGCAACACTCTTTTCATAGATAAATGAGAAAAAGCCTTGGTCTAAACAGAGAGAGAAAAGGAGATCTACACAATTCTGTGAGTGAAACATCATTACATGCCTTAGGAACACAAACAACAAGGAGTTTTGCTGGTAGAGACACAGGGCAGAGCAGTAGAGCTTCTTTAACAACACAGGATATTTTCCTTAAACAAATACTCAACTTCCAAGATGTCTTCCAACACAAATGTGCTTCAATTGCTACAAACCTTCAGTTGACGCTCAGGAATATGACTTTATTTCTTTGTCACAGTAATGAGTAAATACTCTTTGAAAATAAAAATAAAAATTAACGGTACATCCAGCAATCCAACTTCTGAGTACTTGAATCCCTAACTTTAAAAAATTCTTTGACACACAATGTGTTTTTTTTCTTTGTCCAGAATGTGTGCATACATATACAGCCATGTATCACCTCTCTGTCGAGCGTTTTATAACTCAAAGAGAAAGGTGCTCTCCCCAAAAAGCTGCCTCTCCAAGACTTACTTCCCAAGAAGAAGAAAGTCACCAATTCCTCTTCCTGTTATCAGTGCTATGAAAAAGGAAAGCCACCACAAATTGCACAGGCCCTTTCCTCTAGACAAGCACCATTTAGCCCACAGTTCCTACACCTCACTGGCAATCTTCCACTGCTCGAGTGTGCTAACATTAATAAAATAGTTCAAGGTGAACACGAACTCTTAAAAATATGTCAAGGACTGGGGAGAAAAGGAGTATTAGAGAGGGAAAGCCATTATAGAAATGAAGAATAAAATCAAGTCAATTATGATCCTCAAATCTCAGGTCTACCAAACTGCCCTAATAAATTGGCCTGTAAGAAGAAAAACAAGCAGGGAAACAATTAGGAGAAATAGACTTTCAAGTAATTCTCCCTGAGAAAAAAGACTTGAAAGTCTCCTTTAATTCAACAAAGATGAGAAATCACGCAACTTTTTCAAAGCATACTGGGTTCTGTACACCTTTGCTACTTATATTAGTAGACAGACAAAATTTCCTTCTGTTTTCCCCGCAAGTGTGTATACACGTGTATGAGAGAAGAGACTGCAGCACTGCAGCTTTTGCTTGACATTTTTGTCATCTTCCCTATATTCACCCACCAAATCTCCCCCTCCAATCCATTTTTTCTTCTCCACCATTTTAAAGTACCTTTTAGCTAGTGCTCACGTTACACCACTGCTCCTTATCTCGAAAATCATCCAGACACAAACTAAAACTCAAAAATTTAAGGATGGGAGTTGCCTAGGCCTTCAAGCAGCATGTTTTCCAGCACTTAACTTAAAGCGTACAAAATAAAACGTAGTTCAAAAATTAAAAGTTATCGCTCTTAAATGAAGTCAGGTACTTTAATGAGAATGGTTCCTGTGGGAAGAAGTATTCTAATACGAGCAGGAACACAAGGAACAAGCAGGAATACAAGGAACAACCTTATCCTGGTAGAGACAAATCATCCCATTAAAGCCTCGTGGCATTGGCAGGGTCCCCTGCCCCCAGCCCCATCCAGGCTGGCTTTGGGCATTGCCAGGGATGGGGCACCCACAGCTCCTCAGGGCAGCCTGTAACGATGGAGCAAAGTTATATAGAGAGGGGCACAGGATCAAAAAGAGAACCTGGGAGATGGCATCCAAATGCCCCAAAAAAATAACAGCTACACAAGAAGTAACATTCCCAAGGAGCAGAATTTTCTGGCTCATTTCTTCTGTCTCCCATTTGTTCTCCACCTCAAGTGTATGTTCTGGCAGGAAACCCTCACAGAAGGCTGCTTGCATCTCGTTACTAATACATCTCCTTCATGCCAAGTCTTTTTTCTTTTTAATGAAGAATTCTTCATTAACAAAAAAATGCCAAATGATCTATTTTCCTTTAGAGGTGAGCCAAATCTGCATACTTGATTTCTTACCTAATGTGGTCCATTTATACCAAGTACAGCTTCCAATTTCTCCCCACCATGACACAGGCTTCTTCTTCAGCACTGCGCCACTGCCATTTCAGTCCCCAAAGAACATAAAAAGGAATCTATTTGATTAATATCTGACTCACAGTAGCATTCAGTGGAACTACAGCAATGGACTGTTTTCACAATTCACCAAAGATTTATATTTTTTAATCGATATAGCTCACGTAGTCAGAGAAGACTAGTATACTCTGGAACAAGCTAGTCAGTAATAGCCAAGACGCTAACACTGCTGGACTGGGGGGTTCCAGAAAGGGAGAACACTGAAAGCAGCAGCCAGCAACAGCAGAGACTGAGCAGATGCGTTATGCCATTTCTTCCACTTTCTCTCCAGGCAGAGTACTGTTCCGAGGCCTGTTACACGTGAAAGCAGTCTTCATAACTTCCACACACTTTTGAAAATAAATTGTTCTGAGCGTTCCTCAAAGCGCATCATATAACCTTTGAAGCTATGCATGTGATAAAGTGGTTTACATTCTGGCCCTAACCCAGCCTGGAAAGCCTGGCCTATACTGTAAGCTTTTACAGATATCCCTTGGAAGTAATTATTTTCTTAATCGCAAACCCAAAAGATATCATAAGACAAAATACAAACACTACAAAGGCAAACCAGAGGGACAGAGAAAACAGCACAGCATACATCAGCATGACATTGACAGAGCTCTGTAGCGTCAGCCTGACCATTTGGCTTGAAATAAGGATGCAAATAAGTGGTAGGCTGCCACTTAATTCCAGTCCTTATCGTCAATCTCTCCCCGTGCCACTAAGGCATACATCAATGTGTGCTGTACTGAAATACATACATCTACAGATCTGTAACAGTACTGAAAAAATATTGTGGTTTTATGTTGCCTTGATGGAGGTATTAAATCAGACCATAATAATCCCATGAGCTGATGCATTTAGAAGTCATTACACGGAACGGTCTACAGTCCACTGTCTTCGGGATCTGCAGTCCTGATGCTGTTCCTCTGGGTGCAATGGGAATGCTTATAAAAAAGTTAAACGCTCCCATGTCTGCTCAAGTGGTCTATGCCACAGACATATCCTCCAGATAGAGCAAATAATGCCCGTATCTTCTGTTCCATGAGCTAGGTCTTCATGGTCTTTAAATGCTTAAGGAAAGAGGATTTGCTCTGGACCAAAAATAAACAACTGTCGGCGTAGTAAGATATTTAAAGCAAGGGCAAAAGACTTTCAGGACTAGCCATTTTTCAACACAGACTACAACTGAAATACACACTCCTGTTTTAATCTAATTCAACCGTGCATCATGTTTTACGTTCTAAGATTTATTTGAAGAACACTGAAATGCCTTGCAGAATAAGCTTTGATACCCTGAAGAGGAAAACTGACTGTCACTACATCCATTTTATAGCTGAACTCGCATCAAGAGTAGTGCTGCTACAAACCTCGACCAAGCAGCACAACCAGTGCGCTTCTCTTTGAGCCACCCAATGCCACAGCTTTCTGCGAATCACGTCTTACAAGCCCCACGTTTTCTCCCCTGCAAACAGCACCAAACCAAAGTTTAGCAAAAAGCACGATTACAGACAGGATGGCTTTTATACACTTGTACAATTGTTAGTTATGTGACCTGACCTTCTAAAAAGCATCATGACAAGCGCAAATAAAGTTTTCAGGGACACCATGAAATGTACCGTAACTACATTCATCCTCCTCTCTCGTTTCCTTGTTATACGTATTGCTTGACAGATTTGTGTTTCAGGTATAATATAAAACACTAAAGTTACATCTGGTTAAGTTTAGGTGGAAATCTAGAAATCAAACTCCCCCATTTTTATCATATTCTACTTGAAATTGAGCTTTAACATTATTACTATGCTTTATACTCCTAATGCAGTTCAGAAAACAGTTTAATCTTGATCAAAGATTAAAGAAATCTGAGTTGAAAAGAATGCAAAACCCAAAATACTGCACCTCTTCCAAGCCAAAATAATGCATAATGTTGTCTGTAACACCCTCCAGCACTGAAAGTTTCCCTCCAAGCTGCAATGAAACAAAAATTAATATTGCAATTCCCTGAGAGAACGACCACGCACACTCATGTGCCGTTCATTTACCTCTACACCACTTGTGCATCAAGGTCTTGTGTGCAAACTTTGAAGGCTCAGAGTCTGACTGTCAAGCACTAACAAGTACAGAAATGATTGAAGGTTAAGAAACAGCTTCCTGCGGTTATTCCAAGGGATAAACTGCTCC